TTCATTGTACTAACAAGTGTATTAGGCAGTCAGTGGTGGGGTCACGTAAGAAAGTAAAGGTTGGCGCATCAGCTATCTGGAAAATGAAAGTTGAAAGAATGAAATTTTATTTAAAAAGTAAAAATAAATTTTGGAATGATTGAAGTTGGTTTAAATCGATCATGAAGGAGATATTTTATGAAGATTGGGGTCCATAATCCACTAAGAATTTACTATTTGTGGGGATATATGTAAAAAACATTAGTTAGTTAGTTAGTTAGTTAGTTAGTTAGCTAGTAGTTAGTTAGTTAGTTAGTTAGTTAGTTAGTTAGTAGTTAGTTAGTTAGTTAGTTAGTTAGTTAGTTAGTTAGTTAGTTAGTTAGTTAGTAGTTAGTAGTTAGTTAGTTAGTTAGTTAGTTAGTTAGTTAGTTAGTTAGTTAGTTAGTTAGTAGTTAGTTAGTAGTTAGTTAGTTAGTAGTAGTTAGTTAGTTAGTTAGTTAGTAGTTAGTTAGTTAGTAGTTAGTAGTTAGTTAGTTAGTTAGTTAGTAGTTAGTTAGTTAGTTAGTTAGTTAGTTCGTTAGTTAGTTAGTTAGTTAGTAGTTAGTTAGTTAGTTAGTTAGTTAGTTAGTTAGTTAGTTAGTAGTTAGTTAGTTAGTTAGTTAGTTAGTTAGTTAGTTAGTTAGTTAGTTAGTTAGTTAGTTAGTTAGTTAGTTAGTTAGTTAGTTAGTTAGTTAGTTAGTTAGTTAGTTAGTTAGTTAGTTAGTTAGGTTAGTTAGTTAGTAGTTAGTTAGTTAGTTAGTTAGTTAGTTAGTTAGTTAGTTCGTTATGTTAGTTAGTTAGTTAGTTAGTTAGTTAGTTAGTTAGTTAGTTAGTTAGTTAGTAGTTAGTTAGTAGTTAGTTAGTTAGTTAGTTAGTTAGTTAGTTAGTAGTTAGTTAGTTAGTTAGTTAGTTCGTTAGTTAGTTAGTTAGTTAGTTAGTTAGTTAGTTAGTTAGTTAGTTAGTTAGTAGTTAGTAGTTAGTTAGGTAGTTAGTTAGTTAGTTAGTTAGTTAGTTAGTAGTCTAGTTAGTTAGTTTTAGTTAGTTAGTTAGTTAGTTAGTTAGTTAGTTAGTTAGTTAGTTAGTAGTTAGTTAGTTAGTTCGTTTAGTTAGTTAGTTAGTTAGTTAGTTATGTTAGTTAGTTAGTTAGTTAGTTGTAGTTAGTTTAGTTAGTTAGTTAGTTAGTTAGTTCGTTAGTTAGTTAGTTAGTTAGTAGTTAGTTAGTTAGTTAGTTAGTTGTATCTAAAATTTTCACTGCCACTGTGATTTTTAGTTTAAGAACTCTACCGCACGTGATTTCTATCTTCTGTTAAACAAATATAAAGGAATACTTTATTTCACACATTTAATTAATGCTTTTATGTTTTATATTTACATAAAATATATATTTTTTTCAAATACTAAACGGTATTAAGAATTTGCAAAGGCGTCTAAATGACCATTTAAAGTATTAGAAATCCTATTAGAAATTATTGATTTTTTCAGATTTCTTTCAATGTTTTAGTAAAATTTCAAGGTGTTTTTTGGTGTTTCATATTTATGTTTTGTTATTGTATAATACTACTAGAACAGGTTGGAATTTTTTTCAGCTGATTATGTAAATTTCTAAACAACCTACTAACATGAAGCTTTAAAATGTATTAATTAATTAACTTATGAATGAATGGCTAAACATTACAGCAACAAAAATTCTTTGATGTCATATTATTTTAAATATTTACCTTTTTGTGTGAGATATTGAAAGATATACAAAAAAAATATATACAAACCAAAAATGTTTTATTGTAGATGTGATTAGATTTTCATCATTAACATATTGCCGCATTCTTTTTGCAAAGTTTTTTCTGAGGATTTCTTTTTTGTTTACTTCTCTCTTGTATCGAAAGAATTAATGAATTGTTTATTTAGATGTTGGTTGTTTGTTGATTTTGCTGCCTTTGTGTTTGGTTTAATTAAATTACACACTGACTTTCGACATTGTTTTTGCTGTTGCTGTTGTGATTGTAGTTTTTAATTTCTTGTTACATGTCTTCCGCATTGATTTCTTTTCTTTATTTTTTACTACTTCGACAATTCTTCAAATAAAACTGCATCTGCAGCCGCAGCAGCCGGTCTCCACCTCAAAATATGAATGTGTACAAATTGAAAAAATATACATTTATGTGTATACAAACATTCATACATACATACATAAATGTATTTATGTATATTCGTTTGTATTCATAAGAAAATTTTGCGGTCATTTAATGATAGAATTTATTGAAATAAATAGAAAAAAATTATTTACAGTAAATAAACAACATACATAAAATGATGTCCAGTGATGGGCAAAATTATAGCAAAAGAATTTCATACATATATATAATGTAAAAAATTATATCTGATTGCTGCTTAAAGTTATAGCTCTGTATTTATACCTAATGCTGTCTAAAATACCAATTAACTAACTAATTGTCCTGCGGTCAATGGTTGGTAAGTCAACTAGAAGACTATAGATTAGACTATAGACTAGACTAGAATATAGACTAGACTAGAATATAGAATAGACTAGAATATAGGCTAGACTATAGACTAGACTAGAATATAGACTAGACTAGAATATAGATTAGACTAGAATATAGGCTAGACTATAGACTAGACTAGAATATAGACTAGACTATAGACTAGACAAGAATATAGACTAGACTAGAATATAGACTAGAATATAGACTAGACTATATCCAGACTATAGACTAGACTATAGACTAGACTATAGACTAGACTATAGACTAGACTATAGACTAGACTATAGACTAGACTATAGCTAGACTATAGACTAGACTATAGTCTAGACTATAGACTAGACTATAGACTAGACTATAGACTAGACTATAGACTAGACTACAGACTAGACTATAGACTAGACTAATAGACTAGACTATAGACTAGACTATAGACTAGACTATAGACTAGACTATAGACTAGACTATAGACTAGACTATAGACTAGACTATAGACTAGACTATAGACTAGACTATAGACTAGACTATAGACTAGACTATAGACTGACTATAGACTAGACTATAGACTAGACTATAGACTAGACTATAGACTAGACTATAGACTAGACTATAGACTAGACTATAGACTAGACTATAGACTAGACTATAGACTAGACTATAGACTAGACTATATAGACTAGACTATAGACTAGACTAGACTATAGACTAGACTATAGACAAGACTATATATAGTCCATAGTCTAGTCTATATGTAGGACTATAGACTCCAAACGCTGGTTAAAAATCTCCAAATTTTCGCTAACCGCTAAAACGAATTTGTTTCCGCAATTGACATTTCAAAAACGTCAGATTTGGAGGGAATAATGTGAAATTGGCAACACTGTATTAGACCTAGTCATATGTACGAGTCGTACATTTGAACAATTATTTGTTTATATCGTTACATTTGTGCGAAAGAAAATATTTACATTATGAATAAGAAAATTATAAAGGCAATTAATAAATAAATATTAATACACACAATTTACATATAAAGTACTTTTACACGTTAGTATCGGACATCTGCATTGATCTCAGTGCGTAAACAAATATTAATTTTTAATTAATTAGGGACACATTTTGTTTATACCAAATGTATGAGTAATAAAAATACAAATTGAGTGTAAATTAGGGGAAAACGCCTAACTAAGGTTATTCAAAACACGTGTGTCTAGTCAATTGTATGAATTTGAAATATTCATTGTAAATTATTAAAAGGTAGCACAACCTTCTATAATCGGAACTTGGTCATAGGTTAATAAACCGGTCAATTAATTTCTTTTTTATTTTTAATGAGATTAACATTAAAAAAAATGCTTTTCTAAATTTTCCTTTTACACTTTCTCTCTATTTGCAGTTTGGACTTCGCCAATTAGATCTCTCCCTTTTATCCCAACTGTGGGCCCTTAATGATTCCATCCAAGAATTTCGCACCATGATACAAGAACAGGAACAAGATGACGATGAGACCTATTCAACACACTCTCGATCACCCTCACCCTATGATTCCGTATCATCGGATGCTGAAGATGATATTTTAACATTAAAAAGTAAAAACCGCATGGAATTACAAAATGGCAATGTTATTACGACCCAACCGAAACTAACAGCTAAATCGTATGCCGCCGATAGCGAAATGACGAATGAAACAACGACAACTTCCACAACATCATCGTTAACGTCATCAACAGCACCCTCAACGATTTCGGCATTGGCGGACCAACAGAAATCACAATTGTTAAAACCACCATTACCGAAACCGTTGGATGTTAAGCCAGTGCCACGTATGCGCAGTGCACCGCCACCACCACCAACTCATCGTAAAAGTCAAACAGCACCGCCACGACCCACATGATGCTACCTCAGTGACTTCTTTGCCGAAGTCAAGATGGTCATGTGCAAAGTGATTGTGGGCGATGCTAAGAAGATCGACGAAACGAAAAAATTCAATAAAAACATTTCAGAACAGCAGCAGCAACAACAACAGAAATACAACAATATTACGGTTACTAATGAAAACAATCTGCAGGTGTTACCAAGGAATTTTACCATAGAGGACCATCCCTAATATTATAGAAAACGTAAAAAAGCAATATTTTATATTTATAAGAAATAATTAATTAACAAATAAACAAAACAAACTATTTTTGCCAAAAGTAGAGAAGATGAAAAAAAAAAAACAAAAAATACATTTTATCAATTAATTAAGTTTTTATTTAAGTTAAAAAATATTTCTTTTTTTGTAAAATGTTGAAATTTATTTAAAAAATAAGTTGAAAATCTTTTGTAAATGTTATTAAATGACACATTCAACAGATTGATGAATAATTAAAAATTTAGTTTATAAATCGTAATTGTATTTGTTGTTACGTGTTTGTATGTGTTAAACTTAGGCTAACACATTATACAAATATTTGTTTAATTAAGCGTGATCACACAATTTAAGAAAATTCAATTTCTTTCAGTGTTGTGTACTCTAACAGAAGTTTGGCATTAGAAAAACACAAATATTTGAAGTGATTAAATGAAGTTATTAAGAGATTGTTAAGTGTTTACGCTTATTTGTTCAAATATTTGTTTTATGTGACACAAGCTTAAATGTTTGCGTATGAATGTGTGTTTGTTTATTTTATATTATTTTGTTAATTATTTTTCTTAAGATTTATTTTATTTAAACTATAAATTTATGTTTTTATTTTTTTTATCTTTATGAAAAATCTAATTTAATAATTTAACACTGGGGTCCTGGCAAAAGGGTGTCTATATATTTTTTATATTTTTAAACAAAATTTCATTTAATTATTTTAATTTTTTGTTTTTAATTTTTTCACCTAATTTGTACATTATTTTTTATATTCATTCTAATGGAGTGCTTTTAATAAAACAATTCTAAAAAAATACTAAATAATAAAAATAAAAATTAGGCTGTTCATTATTTTATTTTATCATAAACAACATACAACATATTACATTTAACCATTTAAATATATAAAATTTCTTTTATTTGTTCATTGTAATTTTATACTTGAATATACAAACATATACTTGGTAGTTTTTAATGGCTGGATTGAATCCAAAACACTTTTCAATTGATTTAATTTAATTGGTACGATTATATTCTATTGTGTATATATACATATACTTATATTAAAAAAATCAAGAAAAATAAATATTTTAATAAAGAAACAAATTTAAATGCTTAATAAAAAAAAAAACAGAAAAAAAGTATTCAATTTATATTATTAATTCATGCATTGTTGAAAAGCTTTACAAGGTAAGTACTTGCACTTATAGGCCTTGTTTACAAAAGTGCAGACGGGGTCATTGTGTCTAAGGTTAAGTATAGGGTGGTTTAATATACTAATGTTATTTCAAAACAATGTTAAAATTGTTTTTATATATTTGTGTAAAATCCCTGATATTGCTATTAATCCGTTAATTGAATAAAATGATTTATATTTAAACTGATATTGAAAATCAAGTCTTTGAAGGCAGTCATGAACTTGATTAATCAATTGTCTTTAATAAAGGATAAGGTCCACGATTTCACATTTTGCACAAATTAATTAATTTGGCCATAGTTGATACCCAAATAAAATTCCCTTTAGAAAATTCATAACTGACTAAAACTTTGCAAGTTAAAGACATCTTGGAAATAATTTCCGAGAAATGGGATTTAAAGTGTCCCGATGTACTGCGTTTTTAAGAATCTTATGTAGAACTAAATCCTAATCGTTGTTCAGTACATTAATACGTACTGAACACGTGATAATTAAAAAATATTTTTTTGGAATCATGTTTTGTTCCATGTTTTCGTGTAACCCCCATACAATTGGACTCCCGAAAAACAGACTTAACGGGAATATATGTTTAAAAATGGGTTAGTATAGTGATGAAATTAAACATTAATTCAATTCATATGGGTCAAAATCTTTTAAGCCAAAACCTCTCTACCAAATTTTCTGTGAATCAGTCCATAATTGACCCTACTCCCCATATAAGGTCCCCTTCAGAAAATGTCTTTAACGCTCATTAGTGGTTTAAAAATACGAGTACAGCAATGAAAATTGACTGAAGTAAGTTCCTTGCGAGCTACAATCTTTTAACCAAACTATGTGGATCGGTTTTAATTAACCTTACTCCCCATATAGGGTCTCCTTTAGAAAATGACTTTAACGCTCATTACTGTCTTAAAAATACGAGTATAGCTATCAAATTCGACTGAAGTAAGTTCCTTGCGAGTCACAATCTTTTAACCAAATTTTATGTGGATCGGTCTATAATTGACCCTACCACCCCATAAGGTGCCCTTCAGGAAATTACTCTAACGATCATTACTGTCTTAAAAATACGAGTATAGCTATCAAATTCGACTGAAGAAATTTCCTTGCGAGTCACAATCTTTTAACCAAATTTTATGTGGAGCGATCTATAATTGACCCTACCACCCTATAAGGTGCCCTTCAGGAAATTACTCTAAAAATCATTACTGGCTTAAAAGTACGAGTATTGAGATGAAATTCGGCATAAGTAAGTTGCTTATGAGGCAAAACCTCTGACTTTTATGAGATTCGGCATATGATTGACCCCCATATAAGCTCCCCTTCAGAAAATTAGTTTAATTAGTTTAAATTGGCTTAAAAATGCGTGTACAGTTATGAAATTTGATATAAGAAACTTTTATAGGAACTTAAATCTTCCTACAGAATTATATGCAGAAAGTGTCGGCTAACCGCCCACATAAGCCTGAGTCTAGAAAATTACTTTAAAGCTAATTACTGACAATATTCGTTTCTAGGTTAAAAATAAGTTAAAAATTCAAAAATTAAAGATTTTCTTCGGGCGAAAACTTTCTTTAAAAGCAAGTAGATTTTTATATTTTTCTGAAAATAATATTTTTTTAGTATCAATAAACGATCCCACATACCACTACGACATTCTGAGTTTTACTAATTTTTTATAAAAATGTCAACTTTGTGCCACATGTTCTAAAATCATGTGTTGCCATAGTCTATGTCACCAAGAACAACATAATTGTAATTTTGCAAGATCGACCTGATTGAATATAAAATGGAAGATTTATGCTGATGCCCTTAAAGTTTTTAATTATATGTTAAATTAAATAATTAATTTTTTAATAAAAGAAACTTGTCTCATAATTTTGTTTCAATTTTGCAAGTTTTTATAACACATTTTTAAGACCATATTTATCGTTGCATATCTTTAGGCTGTCAAAGAAACCTAGACAACATGTGCTGCCAACAACTGATCTTTTCTTGTACATTTAAAATTTAACGTTTCCGTTTTCCGCTAAATAAATCGTGTTATATATTAAAGTGTCAGTTAAGGCGCAAAGTTTTTAAATACAGTGCCTAATATTTAATAACGAGCATATTATAGCCGAACTTAGTTTTTTTTTTGTATTACAATTTTTTTGGTGCAAAATTGAATTTGTTGGAAACTGATTGATTGATAATTTCACAAGAAGAGATTTTCCAAGATGCAATTATTTTTTTAGCATAATTTAATAAATGTAAGTTATTTCCGAAAGATAAACAATTTTTTTTAATTTAAGATTTACGAGATATACTTTGATAAGCTTTGAATTTTTTAATTTAAGATTTACGAGGTATACTTTGATAAGCTTTGAAATAATTTTTTTTTAATTAAATGGTGATTGCTTACACGATGCATGTATTGAAATAATTCTCAATCTTAATCTTTGAAATCTTAATCAATAAAAACAATAAGTAAATGCAAATGTTAAAAAATTACTGGAAAGAATATAAAATATTTCATAATAATTATTTTAGCATTTGAAAAATATCAAATGATAACTAGATCAACAATAAGATTACACAATCAAGCAGGTTTTGTTGCTGGTTATTAAATAATCTCAATAAAAATCGACTCCCATGATCATCATCATAGCTACTCCTACAGGTTATTTTTTGTTATATTAAAAAAAAAGTAAATAAAAAATTCTATTAAACCCGAATATTCGAAATATCTTAACCAACTTGTTTTATTAATTTCATAGGAAAAATACGAATTTTAATTAAAACATATACATACTTCGTTAATTATAAAAATAAATATTAAAATTTAAAAAAAAGAACAAATAAATTAAAAATGATGACACTTTCCTGAGTATTTCTACATTTTTAAACAAGTTTAAGATCATTTTAAATAAAAGTAAAAGTTAAAAAAATATAGTTTGTGTGAATTATTTAAATAAGTTTTAACAAACTTTAGCAACAGATGTTAATGATACCACATACTAAATGAAAACTAAATGAATGCTAATATGGAAGTTAAATAAATTCTATAATTAAAATTTAATTTAGTAGAATTTTGTATATGTATTTAGTTTTTCTTTATATGTATGTATGTACAATTGTTTACTACAATAATATTTAATTCAAAACCGCATTATAAAATATTTCATTAATTAAAAATGATTAGAAAATAAATAAATTTATTTACATGCTAATTAAGGAATAAAATTATAAAAACAAATAGAAAATTATTTAATATTTAACTAGATTCAATGCTATAAATGTATATAACTTTAGAAACACTCATGCTATTGTGATTTTGCACTTTCCGAATGACCCGAAGTCAATATACAACAATGTTAAAATGTTTGATAAAATAAACGTGATTAATAAAATCGTACAATTAAAAATGATTTCTTACATTTTATAATAAATAACAAGTGAGAGTGTTATATTCGCCTGTGCCGAATCTCACATACCCACCATCAAACCGTATGCCTTAAAAGGAATGCTCCCCTATAAACATCAGGGTGATATTACTCATCAAATAAACTGAAGAGGTCCTTATATGAGAGATAGGGTTAATTATTAACTGTTTTTCATACTTTTTATAGACCGATTTTAGTTCATATAAAAAATCTTTACATCGTATATCACTTCCCGACACTTTCCGCATAAAATTCGGTAGGAAGATTTACATTCCTATAAATGTTTCTTATATCAAATTTCATAACTGTTCACGAATTTTTAAGTTAACAATGATCGTTAAAGTAATTATCTTAGGGACCGATCCGCAATAAATTTGGTAGAGAGATTTTAACTCGTATAAAACTTATGTGTGTCGAATTTCGTCGCTTTTCTGGTACTTTTAATCCAGTAATGAGCTTTTAAGCCATTTTCTGAAGGGGAGCTTATATGGGGGTCAATCATATGCAGATTCTCATAAAAGACAGTAGAGAGGTTTTGGCTCGTAAGAAATGAAACTTATTTATCTCGAAATTCACTGATCTTATGCTCGTACTTTTGAAACAGATATGCCCGTTAAAGCTGTTTATCGGTGGTCCACTTGTATGGGGGCTATCCGAAAACGGAGACCGATATTGCCCATTTTCAATACTAAACAAACCTTACCTATAGAGAATATTTGTTGAAATGTTCAATCCTCTATCTCGTTCTGTTCGGACTTTGAACAGACAGACATAGCTAGATCGTCTTAGAATTTAATAAGGACCCAAAATATACATATATATTTTTGTGGGTCTATGACCAATATTTCGATGTGTTACAAACGGAATGACAAAATCAATATACCCCCATCTTTTTTGAAAAACTGTAAAAATCGAAATTTGTTCAAATATTCCCGATATTTGTCCGATATTTTGAAACAAATTTTAGTTTTAGAAACTTAATAAATAAGTATGTAATAGGTAATAAAATCATATGAAGGTTTCTAAACTGATTCTCGTTTTGTGATCATAGCTTGAAGAATAGTTAAATTTTTGATAGAAAAATATGTCAAGTTCGAAATATCGTAGGGGAAATCAATATCCATAAATGGTATATATGTATATACTGGGTTCTTATGAAATTCTAAGTCGATTTAGCTATGTCCGTCCATAAAATTCACACAAATTTTTAACCCTGTGACCAAAGTATACATCTGTAAAGAATGAATCCGAATCTGATCTTAAAATTTCTCCAGGACATTTGGGATTTGAGATGTCGTGTCCTGAACATTTGATCATAAAGATATCGGAATTAAATTCTATATAAATAATTTTTTTGTAAATACAAATCATCAGAATTATTTTTCTGGATAGGCCCGTAATTGTTCACTGCTATATAAGGTCCACTTCCGAAAATCAAGTAAACGGACAGAAATGTCAGGATAAAATTCGTCGTGAATGTGTTTAAATTAAATCCGGATTGGTCCATAAAATCGAATTCTGAAACGATATTGGATTTTGTTTTCTAAAAAGTGGACCAAGCTGTGGAAAACTTTCTTAATTTCAATTATATAACTTGGAAATCATAAGATTCAAACTATTTTGTGATTACTTTTATATCCATTTTAAAGATCAAATTTTGAAACAAAAACTTCAAATCAACTCCAGATCTGATAATATTTTTCTAATGGGAAATATACTTTTTTGTTGAATCCTCTTTAGACCCTACACCACTATGGTGTCGACGTTTGATATGTACAAAAAATTGCTATCTCAGGCCAAATCAGTGCAGCGAGCGTCATAGCGGTTTAAGCGGCAAAAGCTATATTGAACCAGTTACTCATTAAGTACAGGATCTACGATCTTGGCATTCAAGAGAAAACAAAAATACCAGTTCCTTCACACTTTGTTTTCAACAAAATTAATTTATTAATTTCTCTATAATTTTAATGACTTAAAAATTTGTGTTTTTTTATATAACGGAATTAACTGTTTTAACTAGTTTATAAGTGAAGAATATTTTTTTAAGACAATAGAAAAGTTAAATAGATATTTTTTTTTTTCAATATCAAGGTTTTTTAAGTATTGATTTATGATTAAACTTAACAATTTCAGAATAAGATTACAATACTGGAATCTAAAAATGACTGGCAGATTAAATAATAATAAACGGGGAAATACCTTTAAACAAAAGTTAAGATAAAAATACAAATTTTAATTTAGTTTGTAAAATATAAATAAAAAAGTATGAATGACCTCTGCTTAGTGTTTCATTTTAGCGGGAAACAACCTTAAGTCATGAATTAAATATTCAATAGAATCATTTATTTTAAATCCGCATATTTATACTATTAGTAGCAAATTTTTGTGTTATTTTAATTAATTTGGGATATTAGGGTATTATTTGTTTTTAGTGTTTATATTTTTGCGTTTCGCATAAAAACAATCTGTGTTTTTATATAGAAAAAATAAAACATTATTAAAAACTATGCAAAAGATTAAAATATTTTTTAAGATACATACGCTCACATTGATACATATATACTAATACTAACATAAAATTAGAGGCAAATTAATACTTGTCGAATTTATTAGACCGGTTTTGTCGCTATACGATGTTGTTATTATTTCATATCTTTAGTTAATGATAGTAGTAACTTTATGGAAAAAATCTACTAAATATAAAATTAATATTGCTAATAGCAAAACGTCAACACAGCAAACACTCAGTAAGAATCTTTGAAAGATCTTTCTGCCCGTCGTTTCATATTTCAAATCAGTCTTTGAGAGTCTTCGTCAAAATACAAAATTTGCCATCCAAACCATTGTGTTAAGTCAAACTATTCTTGAGAATTCAGTCTTCATTGTGATCTTTAGTCAATCAGTCACATACTCATTTATTTCTAAATAAAATGGCATCTGCTAAATTGGTGAGTTGTTGGAACAAAAATAATATTAAATATTTAAATAAAATAAAAAATATTTAAACAATATAATTAAACACACCGCAACGGGATGTTTGCTTTATAATTAAAATGTAATAAAAAGACAACTTAGTGAAATATTTCAATTTAAATACAACAATTACGATTTTCAAATCTAAACTCATGTGATTGATCTATTGTGAATGAATTTTAAAATAAAACAAGTTTTTTTTAATGGAGCAACTATTGAATGAAATATGTGAAATGTAATTAACTAATTATTTAGTAATTGTGTGTATGCAAAATTAAATGCTGCATTTTTTATTTTTAAAACAAATGTATTTTAACTACAGAAACAAATGAAATACATTGTGATAAAGTAAAAGTGATCTTATATTAACAAAAAATCGATCATTACCAATAACCGTTTCTATAATTAATCAGAAACAATGATTATTCATGTTTCGATAAATGTATATTAGCATCACTTTCGATTACTACAGTGCCTCCCAATAAATAGTTTTATAACATAACATTTTGAAACTAAAGTTGTCTCTCTCTTATTTGAATATTCTTCAGTTATTACGACTTGAGATCAGTCATCGGTAGAGAGTGACAAATGATGTCTTTAACGGACTGGTCCATAGTTTAGTCAACAAAAAGGTCGATAGGCCATTCAAAAGACTGACAGATTTGTCCATAGACTAATTTGTATACTTGTTAATAGACTAAACTATAGCTTAGCCTATTGATTAGTACATAAGTCCATAAGGTTTTTCACTGTAACTTAGTACTTTCAATCGTAAAAAGTAATATTTTGTAAATTATCAATAAATTACGAGTAAATGAAAGGGAGTTAAAATGATTATAAAAGCTTTTTACCTATTTCAAATGTAGATTAAATATGATCCACGACAGGCATGGATAAATTTGCTGTCGCGACTTTTCTGAAGTCAGTAGTCTTGCTTTAGTCTATAGTCTAGTCAATAGTCTTGCTTTAATCTATAGTAATCTCTATAGTAATCTAATATATAGTCTAGTCTATAGTCTAGTCTATAGTCTAGTCTATAGTCTAGTCTATAGTCTAGTCTATAGTCTAGTCTATAGTCTAGTCTATAGTCTAGTCTAGTCTAGTCTATAGTCTAGTCTATAGTCTAGTCTATAGTCTAGTCTATAGTCTAGTCTATAGTCTAGTCTATAGTCTAGTCTATAGTCTAGTCTATAGTCTAGTCTATAGTCTAGTCTATAGTCTAGTCTATAGTCTAGTCTATAGTCTAGTCTATAGTCTAGTCTATAGTCTAGTCTATAGTCTAGTCTATAGTCTAGTCTATAGTCTAGTCTATAGTCTAGTCTATAGTCTAGTCTATAGTCTAGTCTATAGTCTAGTCTATAGTCTAGTCTATAGTCTAGTCTATAGTCTAGTCTATAGTCTAGTCTATAGTCTAGTCTATAGTCTAGTCTATAGTCTAGTCTATAGTCTAGTCTATAGTCTAGTCTATAGTCTAGTCTATAGTCTAGTCTATAGTCTAGTCTATAGTCTAGTCTATAGTCTAGTCTATAGTCTAGTCTATAGTCTAGTCTATAGTCTAGTCTATAGTCTAGTCTATAGTCTAGTCTATAGTCTAGTCTATAGTCTAGTCTATAGTCTAGTCTATAGTCTAGTCTATAGTCTAGTCTATAGTCTAGTCTATAGTCTAGTCTATAGTCTAGTCTATAGTCTAGTCTATAGTCTAGTCTAGTCTATAGTCTAGCCTATAGTCTAGTCTATAGTCTAGCCTATAGTCTAGTCTAGTCTAGTCTATAGTCTATAGTCTAGTCTATAGTCTAGTCTATAGTCTAGTCTATAGTATAGTCTATAGTCTAGTCTATAGTCTAGTCTATAGTCTAGTCTATAGTCTAGTCTACAGTCTTGTCTATAGTCTAGTCTATAGTCTTGTCTATAGTCTAGTCTATAGTCTAGTCTATAGTCTAGTCTATAGTCTAGTCTATAGTCTAGTCTAGTCTAGTCTATAGTCTAGTCTATAGTCTAGTCTATAGTCTAGTCTATAGTCTAGTCTATAGTCTAGTCTATAGTCTAGTCTATAGTCTAGTCTATAGTCTAGTCTATAGTCTACTCTATAGTCTAGTCTATAGTCTAGTCTATAGTCTAGTCTATAGTCTAGTCTATAGTCTAGTCTATAGTCTAGTCTATAGTCTAGTCTATAGTCTAGTCTATAGTCTAGTCTATAGTCTAGTCTATAGTCTAGTCTATAGTCTAGTCTATAGTCTAGTCTATAGTCTAGTCTATAGTCTAGTCTATAGTCTAGTCTATAGTCTAGTCTATAGTCTTATAGTCTAGTCTATAGTCTAGTCTATAGTCTTGTCTATAGTCTAGTCTATAGTCTAGTCTATAGTCTAGTCTATAGTCTAGTCTATAGTCTTGTCTATAGTCTAGTCTATAGTCTAGTCTATAGTCTAGTCTAGTCTATGTTCTAGTCTATAGTCTAGTCTAGTCTATAGTCTAGTCTAGTCTATAGTCTAGTCTATAGTCTAGTCTATAGTCTAGTCTATAGTCTAGTCTATAGTCTAGTCTATAGTCTAGTCTATAGTCTAGTCTAGTCTATAGTCTAGTCTATAGTCTAGTCTATAGTCTAGTCTATAGTCTAGCCTATAGTCTAGTCTATAGTATAGTCTATAGTCTAGTCTATAGTCTAGTCTATAGTCTAGTTTAGTTTATAGTCTAGTCTATTATCTAGTTTATAGTCTAGTCTATAGTTTTAAGGGATTCTAGATTCTTGCATAGAAAATACTTATAGTCAAATTGTGGACTGCTGCTGTTAGTAAAGAATTATTTTTAATTTTTATTTAAAATTTTCTTCTAGGTTTTCTTGTGCGCCGTTATGGCCATTCTCTCAGCCACCGCTTCTGCTGGTTTGTTGGACGCCATATTTGTACCCACCATTTTACAAGAGAAATACCAACTTATGCCCACCAAAGAGGGTTATCGTCTTAAGTAAGTTTGATAAAACCTAAATAAGTTATTATTGTATTCTTTACTATTTATTTTAACTTTTTACAGCTTACAAGAACCCGATGGCAGCTCACGCGAAGAAGTAGGTATGGTCATTAATCCCGGCACACCCGAAGAAGAATTAGTTGTTATGGGTACCTATACTGTGTACGATGAAAAGACTGATACTGAAACCGTTACCATGTATACCGCCGATAAGGATGGTTACAAATCTCGTTATATGCTTAAGAACCGTAGATTGAGTCCTGGCTCTTTGAAATCATTGTCTGGTTAAACTTGTTTTAATTAAAAAAATGATAAATGTTTTTTTTTTTTGTAAATTGTAAATGATTGTTAAATAATAAAATGATGAGTTAAATATATTGTTTGTTTTTTAATATTGTTATAAATTATTTGAAGATTCTGTTGGTTATACAAAACTGGTTTAAAATAATTGTGTGTTTGTTTAAAAAGAAATTCTATACAAATATGTATAAAATTATTAAAGAATTAGTTGAAATTTTAGACAATGACCAAATATTAAAACATGAATTCGTATGTTATTATATAAATCTCTAGTTAAAACATGTTTCTGATGATGATATCGTTTGATGATGCCAAAATTTGTTAAGCATGAAACCTAGAAAATAAATGTTAGTGAAGAAGAAGTTTTTTATTAGCTTGTGCTCTTTGACAAGGTCAATGTTGAGTTCATATTTTCACCATTAATTTGAACAAGTTATGATTATTATATGATTTTTGTATTACTAAAGTATTGAATTATAAGCTTCACACATTAAACTACAATTACTAGTTGAGGTTTTATTGATATTCTTAGTTTTCATATTTTTTTTAATTTATTTTTGGTTTTCATTTGAATTTACGACTACTTGGATTTCTTGATATTTATACCAATTATTTAATTTGACATAATCCTCAATATTTGCTCGAAGGTTATCTTGTTTTTTTTTTTTAATAAATGATTTGAATATATATTCAAATTCTAATCATGCGTGTATTACAAGCCACTAAGCAAACAGAAGTGTCAAATTAAATTGGTTTCGTTTGTCAAAATACATATATTTTTGTAGTAATTCTAGATGGCCTTAATTTATGGTCAATGGCTAAAAGTGTAGCACATTTTTGGAAAAGTTTTTTCGGAAAAAAAACTAGCGGATTAAAGAAAAGATTACACAGGCCAACAAAATTTGGAATAAGTCGAAATCCAGATTCCTAGTGTATACTTTCTTAGAGAATGAAGTTGCAGATGAAATAAAGATTTACAAATTTAAGGTATTGTCGTGCTGTTACGTCTCAAATATGGCCAAAAATAGGATTTTTTCAAAGATTTTACAGAATATCTCGAAAATCGGATGTGTTTTCTGAGGCCAGTTTTGGATTCAGAGTTGCTCAATCGTTTACAAAAAATTGAGATTAAACACTGCTCAATCGTTTAGAGCTGTATACTTTGGTCTATGTGTTATTTTAAACAAGTAAGTATGTCTGTAATGATTAACAGTTGTAAACGATCGAGAGATATTCAACGACTTTTAGTGAGGGATAACCAAATTGGATCATCATTGATTTTAGTAAGTATAGTCTGACTTAAAGTGAGAAAAATATTCGTCAAATAACATACGATTTACAAATACATATGTACCTATAGTTTGGGCAGATTTTGAAACGATGGAGGCTGGTCAACAAATAGTGAACCCTCGTAGTTCCCAGTATTCACATATTTTGAAATATACTATTAATGACTTCTATTAATAGTTAAACTTTAATTTAGCACTTATTTAAAAACACTTAAAGTCGTTATATACCATTAAAGGCGCTGCGAATTATGGCCCCAGGTAAAATGGCCCCAAAATATAAAACGAAAAATTGCCCCAATGTTGGGGTCAAAATTCATTATGAAGTATAACCCTAACATTTTTTAAGAAAAATCACCCCAAAATTAATGAAAAATCTCCCCAAGGTTGAAATGAAAAGTGGCCCCAAATATTGGGTTAATTTTTCGTAATGAACAATTACCCCAAAAACGTAAATGAAATTTCACCCCATTTAATTTTAATTCAAATATAGGTGACGTGTCATAAAGTCCAGTGTCATATTTTCCATGGGCGTTATGACTCACTAAATTGAGTCTAGTGTCCATGGACGTTATAACAATTTCAAAAGTGTCACAATGCATAAAGTCTATGGATTTCAAAGAGTCCATTTATCAAAAGAAGGCTTAATTTAGCGAAGCCGGTATTCGAAATACCCCAGAGTTTAAAACCTCTGCGCCCGGCCGAAGGCCGGCTATACAGAAAACTTTTTAAATGGAAACCAAAATGCAACATACACCAAATTTAGGATAAATTCCTTTGGGGGTAAGAATGTCCCTTTCATAAATTCTTTACAAATTTTCAAATACAGTTCTGTTTTAAAAGTGATACAATGTCAATGGACATTATAACACTTTTAAAAATTGTCATAACGTCCATGGACACTATGAAACTTTTTGGTGTGTCATAACGTCAATGGACATTATGACATCCCACCTCAAATATAAGCTAACATATTTATAAAATTTCATATTTAATAATTTTTGTTGTATTTTTATTAAATGTTTGTTAATTTTGAACATTCTTGAAATATTTTTTGTAAAAATATGTTCAAAATTAACAAACATTTTATGAAAATACAACAAATATTATTACATAAAATATTTTTTAATAAAAAATATCGCGCGATAATGTTCTGATTTTTTATAAAATATTAATAAATAGTAATAATGAAAGATCACCCCTAATTATATGGTTTTTTAGGTCCCTTTTTAATATTTTAATATTCACGTATTTTACAAAATTTAAGAATGAAAATTAGCACCAAAGGAAAAAAGTTTTGTTTTGGGGTATTTCTTCATTTCACAACATTGGGGTCATTTTTATTTTTTTGCAAAATGCAGTATTACCCCAAATGTAAAAATGTTGAAATACCCCAAAAAATATATATAAAAAAAAACAAAAGTTTCGTGTTTTTGTTTCCTGTATCTTTGTTGGGGCCATATTTCGTTTTACGTTTTGGGGCCATTTTACCTGGGGCCATAATTCGCAGCGCCACCATTAAACACCCACCTGTTAAATATTTTAATTCCATTGATTATATAAATGATGATTTATCTAAATATTTCAGTAAACATCTTTGATACTCTTACTCTTGGACAATAAAAAAAAAACAATTAGCATTTAATCATTAGACATATTAAAAGGTCAAGTTCAGCATGTGTGTTTTTGTTATTTTTTTTTAAGTACTCATTCAAACGTTTTTGTTTTTGTAATAAAATTACAATTTTATTTCTTTGATTTTTTTTTGCACGACTATATAAGATTAGTTTGTATGTATTAGTCTTAGAAATGATCAGTAGTATTTGTATACAAATGTTGAAATCAATAATTTTCTCAATTCATTTGTTTAATCTTTATGAGAAGATCATGTGCATTTGGAAGATTGACTTATCGTTTTGAAAATTGCGTGTTGTAAAATTCGTGAATATTTAAATGTTTTGAATTCTTATTATGCATTTTTGACAAATTTATTTACATACATATTTAAAGTTTAAAGTCATCATCGTTATTGTTGCAAAAATGTTGCAGTATGTTCCCCAACAGTTTTATAAGTAGTCAATGTATCATTTTTAGGAGTCACTGTATATCGACTTTTTGAACTATTGCACATGATAATTTTTCACAGTTTTAAATGTTAAACATTGAACATATTAGTTTTTTTGATTAATTTTTTACAGTATAGTTGATTTATAGACTTCAACTTTTTTACACCAAAATCATGGACCAACAATTTCAATACCAAACAAATACTATAATTAGTTATTTTTGTGGAATCACCCTAATGTACACATTTTACTAATTACATTCTTAACTGACATAAAACAACTATTTAGCAAGCAAACTTTGTTAATATGTCTAATTTAAATATTATTTTCATTTATAAGTTAAAATACAATTTTATAAGAAAACAAGTCAGAGTACTATATATTCGAATGTGCTGAATCAAAAATGTTTAAGAATCGATGAAACTGAGTTAAATTTTTTTAAATTTTTGTTAAGTTTTAAAAATAAGTAAATGTTTTATTACATTTCGTTATAATTTACCAAAATACTAGTAGGTATGTTCAAAATTGCTGCCCATTAGCCTATTGCCGCAAAAAGTACCAGTTAAAGAATGAAAAAGTACCAAAATGACCCTTTTTATAAGTTCTCATTTACTCCGGACTCCACATGCTTAATTTTAGGTTTCTAAAGTCAATTTTATAGAAAACTAAAAAAGTATCAATTAAAGAAGGAAAAATAGCATTTAATGTTTTGTTTTATAAACTAAGAAAAAGAACAACATTTACTTTATTGTTGTTGTTATTTCGTTTTCAGAGGTCGTCTCGGATTCTTGCTCACGGATCGTTATTTATGGATCAATTTTATTGATTTCAAATAGGAAACTTCTCGAAAGCATGTCTGATAGAATTGTTGAAGATTTGGATCCTGAAGATATCTGGGATCTTCAGAAAAGGGCGAGTCCAATTGATTTTGGTTGATATAAGTCCATTATATCGCCTAGCTCCCATACAACCGGACTGCCTAACATGTATTTTGATGCAGTGGACTATTTTCAATCAAAAAGTCGATTTTACAGTTTTTTAGCTGTTACGCGCTTTTACATTTCAGGTGACGATATATATGCTGCTCAAGAAGCTGAAGGGTATTAAAATAGAACAGATTTGTCATAGAAGGGGATATTCTTTTTTATATCCACCATCAAAAAGATGGGGGGTATATTGTTTTTGTCACTCCATTTGTAACACATCGAAATATTGGTCTAAGACCCAGAAAAGTATATATATTCTTGATCCTCATTAGATTCTAAGACGAGCTGGCCATGTCCGTCCGTCTGTCTGTTCGTCTGTTGAAAACACGATAGTGTCCGAACGGAAAAGGCTAGAGGGCTTAAAACTTCCACAAATACTTTTTATTGATGCAAGTTGTTTGGTATTGAAAATGGCCAATATCGGTCCACGTTTTCGCATGGCCCCCATACAGGGTCCCCTTCAGAAAATGGCTTTAACGCTCATTACCGGTTTGTAAATATCAGTACAGCGATGATATTCGACATATATACGTTTTTATAAACGAAAATCGTACTGCAGAATTGTACAAAGATCACCTGACCCTTCTCCCTATATAAGGTCCCATTCAGAAAATGATTTTAACGGTCATTACTGGCTTAAAGATACGAGTAGATCTAAGAAATTCGACACAAACAAGTTTTATGGGAACTTAAACCTTCCAACCGACTTCGATTAGTGTTGGTCGGAAACAGTTCCTAC